AAAAAGGTCATTAGCGCATAACACTCTCAACTTTCATTATTATTGTAGAAAATATCTATACCTTTTATTTTTTGGTATTTTCATCCTTATTTTCATATTTCATTGCGGAATATGTTATTTTCATTTATTTTCTCAAATAAAATTGTTAAATGACGAATATACCCTTCTTTTTAAATAAGACAAAAAGAAAAAAGAAAGAAATTAATAGCAACCATAGTCCCAAGTATTTTTTAAAAAGCGCAAATGAATCCTAAATAAATCATTTCATCAATTTTTATCCAATTTCTCAATGAAAAACTGTGAAATAATGAATATATTCTCATATTTAAATTTATATATTTTCAATTTCTAATTCTTTAATAATTTATTTAGGACTTGTTTGCACTTTTTCAAAAAAAATTAGGACTATGATTGTAATTAATTCTTTACTTTTTTTTATTCAACTATGAGTGTATATTTATTTTTTCACATCTTTTTATTAAAAAATTGGATGAAAAATGATGGTTTGTACAATCAAATGTGTAATTAAATGTGAAAATGTCAAAAAAATAAATAAAAGGTATGGACTTTTTTGCAATAATAGTGAAATGTGTGGATATTATTTAAGACTTATTTACGCTTTTCAAAAAATTTGGGACTATGATTACAATTAGTTTTTTTCCTTTTTCCTTTTACTTTATTTAAAGAGAATTGTATATTCGTCATGTTACATTTTTTTAATTTAGAAAATGGATGAAAATGATATTTTACCCAATGAAATGTAGAAATAAGAATGAAAATGCCAAAAAATGAAAGATAATGACGTTTTCCACAATAATAGTAAAAGATGTGGACGTTCTGTCCTAATTATATTAGTAAAAATAAACAAATAGAATCGCGAGAAAGAATAAAAATAGTTTATTATATTTTTTTATTAGGTAGTGTGGTATTTTTAAAAAAATTAGATAATATGATTCAACAGAAAAAGATGAGATTGATGAAAGTATTGTTACTAGTCGAATAAAACGCTACCTAGCTTATTTTATTTAGTACATTGTGTATAGTTTTAACAAAAAGTGTTAGAAATAGGACAAGATTATACGACACGGTGTGAAGTATTGATCACAAAAACAAGAACACAAGAAACAAAAATTTAATTTGGTAGATAAATTGAAAATTTTATTCAATTATAACAATAATATTGTGTTTCTACACAATTCTAACTTGCAGTAATGAATTAACTTGTAAAGAAAAATCTACTATTTATAGGACTACATACCAAATCCTAATAATAAACCTAAAGATGATAACTAAATCAAAATCGCATGACATAAATAAAACAAGGAAAACCCGGACGACAGCGGCGCTCAAGCGCCGACGACTGGTAGGCGAACTGTCGCTCGCTGCTGAAAATTTCATCTCTCCGCTCGAGCATTCAACAAGCGCCATCAATTCATTTTTCATCTATAAACCCTGTTTAGACGTCTTCGAGGTGCATACATTAAACCTCGCAAACCTAGATGGATTTTGGTCATAAAACCCAACAAAAAGGAAAATCATTAGAGCAAACTTTCAGCAATATATATGTTTTTGTCGGTGATATCTGTATATCTTAAAACTAGGCACCAGCCACTAGCACCAAAATATTATTTGACTCCTGGAGTTTTGATTAATGATCACCGTAAGAGCATTGTACACCAATTTAAACACGAGCCTTGACCAATTGAGCACAAATTAAACCCCCATACTGATAACTAATAGTCTGTAGTCAGTCGTGAAAGAGCATTGGTACTTTGATGTTGAAATTGATTTTACAACTACTCCACTAACTTGAGCATCATNAAACAATTCGTTGTGCTCCAAAAAAAAAAAATTTGATTTTGAAATAGTATTTTTATAAGAATATATGGTCAAAAAATAAGAATTTTTTTTTGGATTTACGTGTAATATTATTTTATAGAGAAAATGTGTGACTGATAAGGAGAGAAAAAAATAAATTAAAATTTAATGAGGACCAAAGATGGGCATATCTCACTGACTTCTAATACGTCTTCTATGTTTGAGCTTAGCTAGTTATACAATTTTAAGAAAAAGAGAGTAATATTATTTTGCATTAGTGGTGCTAAAACCCCATTTCAATGAAAGATTACAAATATGTTCAATTAATAAGAAATATTTAATTGAACTTATTATATATCCATCTATGATTGTGAGAATTTGGGTGTGACCCGAATTCTTTATTGAAATAATTGAAAAATTCTAATCGAAGTGCACGTCAAGAGAAATTCAGTTTGGAATGCTATTGAAATCTTATTCAAGTTAAAATTTTATTGGAGGCCCAGTTGGGAGTTGAAATTTGTATTTGACTTGAGATGTTGAAATTATGGATCAGGAAGAAAAGTCGTCGCATTTTCGCTAACCTACCGCTCGACCAAACCTGCAGGTTTTCTCTTGAGATTTGGTCGTTCGCTTGGCACTCGAGCAATGGACTTGTCGCTAGCTTATCGCTCGAACAATAAAGTTATCCGATTCAGGCCCGTTTCGCGTTTTAACACTTTTTTGGCATTCACCTTCAGCTATAACTCATCTATTAGGGTTTGGATGTCACCCTACATAGTTACCTATAAATATTAGGCACTTCTATACAATTATATAGTGTGAGAAAAGTGATTACTAGTTTTTAGGATCATTTTAATATTTCTCCATCTTCATTATTTGTGGTGCAATAAAATATCTTAATTAATCTGCCATATTTTTCTTGTCTTCTTTTATTATTTTGCTCGTGATCAAATGCTTCATTATTGTGTCATATAATTTCAACATCTCAATCTGGTAGTTGATTTCATATCAAGTGGTATCGAGTAATACGTGATCCTTGAATTTCCAACGATTGATATCAAAGATTTTGGGCATAATTAACACAATAGTGATATCAGAGCAATCCCGTCGATCCTAAAAAATGATGGTGCTATAAAGTCATTGATTCTAAAATGCATTGTTTAAGAAAGACACGTAGGCTTGTGAGTTGGTTCACCAAGAAGAATTTGACATTGACAATTAATTTCTTAATTCTCCTTCTCACGATTTTGGTGAATTGGCCCAATACAGTGACATTTTTCTTTGTTGTCTGGGGTTCTATAATTTTTATCGAGTCGATCTTAGCCCAAATCGAGGAATGCCATGGGCAATTTCTCGACAATCTTTGGGCCGAGCAAGTTCGAACTTGTTTGTCCATTTTAACACCTCTAAACTTGCTATCGAACTGGTTCACATTGACCAGTGGATTTCCATGAAAACACCTTGGTTTCATGTCCATTTCGTCAATTTTCCAGTCAAACTAAGCAATTTGATTCGGTTTTAGCAACTATGTTTCTTATTCCACTTGTGCTCTACTTGGTCATTCATATTGCCACCAAGAAAAAATTGGAAGGTGGCATTTAATATGTAAAAATTGGATGGCGTACAGTCAGCATAAATCATTTTCTTAATCTCATCGCGACAACTCTATCCCATCCTATCCTATACCAAACAAAATTCACGTGTTCACTGACTGTATCAAAAAAGAATCCATGCTAGATTACGAGTCAACGTTGATATCTGGCATTTTTGGATGTTCCTCGAGTGACGTAATCCCTGACATTATTGTTGGAAAGAATCAACCCAATGGTCTGAATATTGTATTACAATTGTCATTAATAGATAAGACAGCATACCAATCCCACTGGGAAACGTGTCAAGTATACCCAATCTGACTAAGCCTTGTCTGTTTACCATTATTACAAAATACAATTTTTTCTCTCGTATCAAAGAAAAAAAATACAATTTTTTCTCAAACTCATTTTTCACCGCACATTCTCACGATAAAATATTTTTATTTTGCACGCAAAGTCAACTTTTTTTTCTCTACTTTTTAGTCACACATTCTCCAAAATTTACTATTTAAAAACTCATCTTCCTTCTTTAATGATAGAAAACATGAGCTAAATCTTACTCCTGATACACACTCCCACGTAGGGACGGACAGCCCAGGCCCCAGCCCACTGAATATTTTTAGGTAGGAAAAAAAAATTCATGAGTAATTTTCAATGTAAGGGAAAAGTCGTATAATTAGCATTATTGCTCTATAAAAAGGGCTCGGCATCATTCAGGGACTCACACTCACTTCCAAGTTTCAAAATGCACGTAACTCCCTTCTTGGCCTATCCAGTGATGCCCTCATCAAGTGGCAACTATTAAACTAAGTGATGCTTATTTGAATAAACTTTATTAAAAATTTATTACATTTAATTCGTCAAACTTTAATTTTAGTTGTGACTCATGCCTTCTATATTCCTTATTTTATTCTAAAATATTTAATTATTACATAATATTATATCTTTTAAATATTGTTTTCAACACTTTCCTCACATATAGGTGGATTTTAATTTTTTTCATGTAAGCCTAGCATGTAAAAATTTCATCTCTAATGACTAATATATTGATATCATGATACTTTATCTAAAAATTTAATATTAGACAATGTACGTGTATATAATTATTTGAAACACGCCTTGTAGGTGGTATTTATTTTGCAATCGTATGGTAGAGTTCAAAATTAGATTTTTAATAAATTTTGATAAAAGTTGATGAAATGTGATGTAAAAAAAGTTGTGAGTCCCACTAAGTATATTATTAAAATTTAATTATTGATTTTGATTTAAAATTATAAAGATTAAATTCCACACCAAACGCTGCTAATAAAAAGGCAATGGCTGGACTTGAAAACTTTGTTACTATCATATTATTAATTTGGATCTAGAAACTACTAAGCCCCAGTTTAATAAATTTTTTTTTTTTTGAGATTATAAGTTTGGTCCAACATTATTTTCAACCACTCATGATTTACAACTTTTTTCCACGATTTAAGAGTACAATTCATCAGACCTACCTACTTATTATTTCAAAAAGTTTCCTCAAACAGGGGCTAAGGTTCACTTCTCTTCTTGATTCGTTTCTTCCTAATTGCTAGAACCTAAGAAACTATGGAGTCGTTTCAAGAAAACAGGGTGAATCAGCCATTGTTGGAGTCGAAAGAACCAGCACGGCAGGTGGCTGGGGAGCAGATTAGTTCTGAGCTTGAGGATATGCTATCGAACACCAGCTTGTCGTGGTGGCGCCGCCTGAAAAAAGCCATCTGGATTGAGATGAAGACTCTCTACATCCTTGCAGCTCCTGCGGTTATAGTTTACTTGCTTAACAATATTACCTCAGTGTCCACGCAGATTTTCTGTGGCCATCTTGGCAATCTTGAACTTGCTGCTGCTTCTCTTGGAAATAACGGCGTTCAACTTCTGGCCTATGGAATCATGGTAACCCTCAATCACTCCTTCTTCCCCCCGCAAAAAGTAAATAAATAAATAGTACTTTTATGATTGCAGTAAATAGCTAAAGTATTATCTATTATAATGCTTAGTCATATTGTGTCCACTGCTACTTCATAACCATTTGTGCAAATGATAATACAACTTTTGTGCTTTCCATGGGCAGCTAGGAATGGGAAGTGCTGTAGAAACGTTGTGTGGGCAGGCATATGGAGCTCACAAATACGAATTGCTTGGAGTATACATGCAAAGATCAACAATCCTCCTGATGGTAACAGGGCTACCATTGATGCTAATTTATATTTTCTCCAAACCAATTTTGCTCTTACTAGGTGAATCAAAAAGCCTTGCATCTGCAGCAGCTGTGTTTATCTATGGCCTAATCCCTCAGATTTTCGCGTACGCTGCAAATTTTCCTATACAAAAGTTTTTGCAGTCACAAAGTATAGTAAATCCCAGTGCATATATAGCAGCAGCTACACTGGTACTGCATATACTATTAACATGGCTGGCAGTGTTTGTGTTCGGATGGGGATTGCTTGGTGCAGCATTGGTGTTGAGTTTATCGTGGTGGATTATAGTAGTGGGACAATTTGTGTACATTTTATATTCTGACAAGTGCAAAGCTACATGGACTGGATTCAGTTGGATGGCATTTTCTGGACTGTGGGATTTTTTGAAGTTGTCTACTTCCTCTGCTGTTATGCTGTGCCTCGAGACTTGGTACTTTCAGATTTTAATTCTTATTGCTGGTTTGCTTCCCAATCCTGAAATTGTATTGGACTCCCTGTCTGTTTGGTAAGCCTAAATTTCACTATTCTTGTCCACTTGATAAACGATTTCATGTTCTGAACAATTAATATAAAGAGTTAATTAATTAATATGCAGTGTCACGTACCTTGGATGGGTATTTATGATATCAGTGGGTTTCAATGCTGCTGCAAGGTGAGTAAAAAAAAAGACATGTATGAGTCTGTCCATTCCAAATCAGCTGGAATGGTTTGCTAAGTATTGATTTGATTTTTGCTCATAATGAATTAAATTCATTACTTCCTAATACAGTGTAAGGGTTAGCAATGAGCTTGGAGCTGGACATCCCAAATCAGCAGCATTTTCTGTCGTGGTGGTGACAATGAACTCCTTCGTATTAGCAGTATTTTTTGCCATTTTGTCACTTTTTCTGCGCCATCAATTAAGTTATATCTTCACCGGCGGAAAAACAGTTTCTGATGCAGTATCAGACCTCACACCACTTATGGCCATCTCCATTGTTCTTAATGGAATTCAACCTGTTTTGTCTGGTAAAATATAAATTTCCTTTTTCTCTCAGTTTTATTTTTATTTTTAAAATTTCCTGTTTAGTTGTTTTGTCTGGTAAGTGAAGAGTTAGACACATGAAACGGCTAAGATTACAAGAATCCAGAAGGAAGACAAAATCCAGAAATAATAACCATGGCAGATGAAAGAAAATATTTTTTTATCTTTTCTTTTCTGACCCATGACACTACCAAACAAATAGGTCAATCTCAATTAGCTGTATGTGTCTGAAATCCCAAAAAGCAGAAGAAAAAGATGATAGCAAAATCTTATCACAATAATTGGAAATAAGACTATGGATATAATTAAGAGGGTGTTTGGTCGGGATTAAAATTAGATTTTTAGTGAGTTGTGATAGAAGTTTTTGAAATGTGTGGTTGAAAGGATGTGGGACCTTCCATTAAAAAAAAAGTGTGGGACCCACGAAACATGTAGTTAATATTGATTATTTGACTTTAATTTAGATTAAAATCAGAGTTTAGTACTGAAGCGTACAATCAAGGCACGTGAAATATATTTTTCGATCATGTTACTTTGTACTCCTCGTCTCTTTAGAAGGAGATAACCTCTGTTTGGTGGTATTTTTGTGAAGAGAATGCATTTGTTTGGTTGATGTGATGACGAAAATGTGGCTGAAAAGGAAGGAAAATTCATTGATGTGATGAAAAATATTATTTTATTAAAAAATGTGTGATTGAAAATAAGTAGAAGAATGATAATAAAAAATATAATGTGGTTCAAACATGGGCTTAATTTTGAATCACTTTTAATTGGAGTTCAAATTGTGTTCTATCCTTAGTCTTTTAATAAAACATGACATCTTTACTAATCTCATTAATAAACAAAGAAAGGAATAAAAATTGCAGCTTTTTCTTGTAACAATTTGTTAGAGTAATGTTTAGGCTTAGTTGAAAGAAATTCATTTATATGTACAAAGTCAAATTTCATGTCCCTTTTACACAGATGCCTAATACTTCAGCCATGTAATCAATTATTCTGCATTGTTCTTATTCTTCTCTTATTTATGACCATCCATCAATCCTTTCGTTATAATTTGAATATGTAATGTTATTTACAGTGAACGACAATCATAATCGTCCAATGTGTAACATGGAATTTGTCTGTGCGTGGTACCTGGATGCGTCGATTATTGATAAAATATGTTTTAATTATTTTTGTATGTTGGGATTGACAATACAAGGTGTTGCCGTTGGATGTGGATGGCAAACTTTTGTTGCGTACGTTAACGTTGGATGTTACTATGTGATTGGCATTCCATTGGGTTCAGTTCTTGGATTTAAATTCAAACTTGGGGCAAAGGTACTTCAATGCTTTTCTTTTTACATTGAACTAGGAAGTTTTTGTAAGGTAGAATCAAACTTTCATTAAGACAAGTCATTGTGAACATGCGGCGAAATAAAATACGAGAATCGATCGACCTAATTTCAAGCAATTGGAGAGGTGGTCGCAAAGGAAGCAAGCGAGAGGACTACTCTATTCCTATCGCTAGGCAAAAAATAACAAGATCCATACTGATCTCTCTGAGAATAAATATTTTTTTGCAGAATCGAGGATTTTTTGTTTTTCAACTTTTAAAACTAGTTTTATTCATGAACTGTAGGGAATATGGTCGGGAATGCTCGGAGGTACAGCCTTGCAGACTATAATCTTATTATGGGTCACCATTCGGACGGACTGGAATAAAGAGGTATATACATATTTCATACTATTAGAAATCTCTTTGTAATAAGGGTCGAACAAGGGCTTAAATTTACTTAAAAGTAAGAAAAGTGAAAAGAAACCCAGTTCTTATCGATTCTCAGTTCAATATGACACTTTGTGCGACTTTCAGGTGGAGAACGCAAGGAGGCGGTTGCAAAATTGGGAAGACGGAAAAGAAGAAGTTAAGTCGAATGATTAATTAGATTCCACTTTAACTATTATTATATGTTGTTTTCCTCTTTGTTATGGCGACTAATAGTAACCACGTCTTTTGCACATCTTATGCATCAAATAAATNTCCCACAAATTTTCTTCTTTTTATTTGTACTTGTCATAATCTATAAATATGTAAATCATATAAAAATATGTACGCCTATACAAATTATTGGAACCCATGATATTTTTAGTAAAGACAAAAACAGTGTACCAAGGTGGACAAAATAATCCAATGGTGATGAAGAATCGAACTGTGTATCAAAAAGCAAAATTCATTGAAAAAAAATCTTTTAATAGATGCAAACAATAATTCTTACATAATTGAAAGAAACTGTCATGAAAAATAGTTTTGACTTGATATGAACACATAGTAATTAAAAAAATTCAAATACAAGAAGAAAAATGAATTTTCTTCTACAAGTATATAAAAAGAAAAGAATATAAACTTAAAAGAGTGTAGTGTGCTCAATGAGAATTCAGAATCTTGATTTTTGGATTTCACATAAAAGATAAAAAGGGAATACGAAATGAAATTACAAAATAAAAAATCATACATTGAAGAATTAAAAATATATTATATGTAATAAGTAACTAGATTACCGTATATTTTTATGCTTATACAAAAAATGAACATGCAATAATAATAAAATATATGATGCTACTATTTTTTTCCTTTTTCGACTCTTTCGCTCCTCTAACCGTTGATCACATTTAAGCAATTTTTTCTTTTCAATTTATTATCATTTATATTTCAATATTATTTTTATCCAATATATTAATTAAACAAGAAATTTATAATATTTAAGTGAAAATGAAGACAATGTTATACAAGGACAAAATGGTAAATTGAATATGCATATTATATATATTAAGTACACGAGCATCGATTTTAAGTGAAGCACACATATATAAATAATATAATATATATATACATACGAAATAATATTATAATATATTAAATGTGGAGTTAGTGGTAGATTAATTACAATTTAGTTTCATTTGCCATATTTTAATACTCAGAATTTGATATTAATCAAATTAAGTTTAATCACTTAAAATCATTTACTGCAACCTATACATGTAATTACAAAATAAAATTATGTCTATGAGAGTTTCGATTTTAAGTAATTAAACTTGGAGCCGTGCTACTTGCATAGGGGTAGGGGGAGGGTTTGTTGATGATGTCTCACACATGGGGAGGGAAGATGGGTGGGTAATTTTTTTTGTTGACAATGTCTCACGCATGGGGAGAGTGGGTGGGTGGGTGGATAATTTTTTTTTTTAATCACAGTGGGGCCACCATTGTGAGTGGTTGTCAACCACTTCGATCAACTGTTGCTATACAAATGACATTGCTGTTAAACTTCGTTTTAATAATGTTTAAGCTTTATTTGATTAATTTATTTGGTTAAATATATTAAATGGTAATTAATCTAACATTATATTAATGCAAACATATATATATTATAATATAATTAGTAATGATTACGGTACATTCATAATTAAAGACATGGTTGTCAAAAGCAAATATATAAGGCCAAAAATGAAAGCTAAAAAATTTTTATGCCCAAGTTTCAATTATTAATATTATTGTTTTAATTCCATGTCCATAATGTTAACATTTGAAACATTTCTATTCTATATAGTGGGCATAAATTTCAAAATCTATTACAAATGAATGTAAATAATATCTTCTATATATTAAAAGTGGCTATGTAACGGAATTTCTTATTTTTAACGGAAAAACTAAAGGAATTTGTTGTTTTAACGGATTATGTAACGAAATTTCTTGTTTTAAACAGGCAGTTGCACCTTCCTTCAGTGTTTTTATCATAACTTTGTATTCCGATATCCGATTGAAGCTATTCAAAATGCGTTGGAAAGCTAACTCATCTGACTACAACTTTGATTCAGACATTATTCTCCAATTCGATCACTTTCTATACCAAATATAGGTCTCAATATGAAACTAAAACATTGGAGCATAACTTTTCGGTTGGAAATTGATTTGTGATCATCTTTTAACTAAATTTGATTCCATTGACGTCTTCTTTTATCCAATTGACTCCGAGCACTCTCAAATCTTCATCGTGAGGTTCGGTACAATTTTTAAGTATTTACANAATTCTCTCACTGTAGGGCTGTAGGTTTGAAAAAAAAAAAGGTAATATAATCAATTTTCCTTCCTCTTTACAGCGCGCTCAGACACGCCCTTAATTAACCAAAAAAATTACATCTTTATTAATAACAAATTAATTATTAAACAAAAACATTAAATATAAACTAAGCAAACGTGCATTGCACGTTGCTTGCACCTAGTAATCAATAATGTTCATAATTTGATAGTTTAGAATTTCAATAGTAATTATTCAAATAGTCAATTAATTCTTATTCAACCGTGATGAACAAAAATCATATCATTAATTATTTCTTTAAGGGTAATGAATGTATATTGGATCTATAGCAAATAATTAAGGGTACAAGAAGTATTCAAAAGTTTCTCATCAATCTTTCCATTGGTTGTAAATGATAAGTTTATTAATAAATGACAATTGTATCCTTACAGCCCTATAAATTATTACAATTGTATCACCAATCATCCCTATAAATATGGAGATTTGATTTTTAATAAAACACACAATTCTATTGAATTCTCTTTGTTTTTATATATTTTCTCTTTAGTTTATAACACATTATGAATACGAAATTTTAATTTTTCAAAATTTAGTAAATGTAGTAATTTTTTAAAGCATAATCATCTATCATATATACCAAAATTAATTTGATAACGCATAATTTATTTGTCTAAATTTTCTGTCACAATTTGCCCGTACAATCATACGTGTATTCAATTTCTTGTATTTGCCACCGCTATAATGTATTTGTTCGGGTTAAATTCATCAATTGTCATCTAACTTTATAACTGGTGTCACTATGAACACTTAATTTGATTTATTTGATCATGACCATCCAATTTAATACTCAGTGTTATTATGGCCACCTAATTTGATTTTATATCATCGTGGTCACCCAATTTCATATAATGTTTCATCATGTTCACCCAATTTTTTTTTTCATCATTTTCACTAATTTTAAAAAGGGTAAAACGATAACTTTGTATTATGTATAAAAAATAAATTAAAATAAAAACTTATTTAAAAAAACATTACTTAAAAAAAATAAAATAATTTTTTTTAAACGTTACTTAAATAATAAAATAAAAACTTATTTAAAAAAATTAAAATAAAAAGTTATTTTAAAAAAAACATTCCTTAAAAAATAAAATAAAAACATTAAAAAAATTAAAATAAAATAAAAACTTAATTTAAAATTTAAAAAAATTTAATTTTTTAAATATTTATTTATTACAAAGTTAACGTTTTATCCTTTTAGAATTTGTGAAAAATGATGGAAAGAAATTAGATAATCATGGTGAAATATTATATGAAATTAGTTGGTAATAGTGAAGCGTTATATGAAATTGGATGATCTCGTGAAATAAAATCAAATTGGTTAGTCATAGTGATATTGAGTATGAAGTTGGATGCTCATGAGAAAATTAAATTAAATTAGATGGTTATGATGACATTAAGTATAAAGTTGGGTGGTCATTGGTGTATTTAACCCATTTTATCAATTTGTGTACAGCATGTGTATCAATTTCGTGCCTTAATTTGTGTCAATCATCACGTTTGTAATCATAATGTTTTCCACCTTCAATTTGCACGTACACGTTTTCCTATGCCATGTTTGGAGACATCCTCTATAAATTAATGATCAATAAGTGATTAAACAACATTTTGAACATTTCAATTCCGTTGGTTAAAAGTTAAAAAAATTATAATTATTAAAAAATAATAAAATAATAAATAAATTATAATTATTAAAAAATAAAATAATAATAAATAAATAATTTTTTTTGCCACTCCTTACACTTATGCTGCTATTTAAAACACCGATTTTATAAATTGTAATGGTAGATATTTACCAACGGAAAATCGGTCGGTAATTGTTAAGATTTAGGTTCACACTTTACCGATGAAAAATTTGTTGGTAAAAGGTTTACTCTTTATCTACGATACGATCTGTTGGTAACTATCATCGACCCTCAAATTAACAATGGATTTGTGGTTGGTAAAAAGGAATGGCTACAAAAAAAATAGTATTTTAAATATCACACTTGAAAATATTTAAAATCTGAATGATTCTTCTTGGCCAGGGCCACATGGGCACTGCCAATAGCATCTCTCCTAAAATTTAGTACTACATTATACTTTTCAACCCCAATAATGACTAAAGTTAGTAATAATTGCGTACCTACTCTTTTCTAAATGACCTTGGAAATCATTGTTTCGTGATTATGACCAATGCACGATTTGAATTATTTGGTACGAATGAAATTTGACCCCTCATTTTGGTGAAAATTAAAATTTAATTTTTTTTATCTATCAATTTTAACAATATATTTTAAGGGATTCGTATCTTTTCAATCACATATTTCATTATTTTTATCAAAATTTATTAAAAATCTAATTTTAATTTCCGAGGCGGAATATACATATAGGATGACAACATCTATAGACTCTATCTTAAACATCTTTATAATAATTTTGTCTAATCTCATTCAATCCAAATTCAATAGAGCAAACATGAATTTTGTACTTGTTCCCTTGCGTGGCCTCGGCTTTGACGCTATGTTAATTATTGTTTTCGCTGTCCAGTCTAGTTGCGTGATTCTCGTGGATAGTATTTTATTCACCCTTTTTGACATCCACAAAAAAAGGAAAAAAACAAGAGAAAAAACAAGAAAAAGAATAACTATTTAATCTAGGACCGAATAAAACTTTCTAACCGAATCGAACGTTTTTTCTTAAGTTAATTACCCAATTTAATCAAGTTGATCTAAATTTTATTCAAATCTCTTATTCTACTATAACGTAATGTCATTTCTGCCGTTATGAAGAAATCGAATTGGAAGCTTGG